CGGGGAGAATGTGTGTGGAGTTTGCACACTCTCCCCGTGTCTGCATGGGTTTCCACCGGGTGCTCCAGTTTCCTCGCACAGTTCAAAGATGTGCACGCTAGGTGGATTGGCCTTAAAGTTCCACAACAATGAAAAACATATTTCATGACATCACTGCAGATCATGACCCACACTTTGGGAAGTCCCATGTTAAGCATCCTACTACAGTTGGATCAGTTATAACTTTGTAGTTTACTGGCATAGAGCATTAATAGGTTTCCCCCAATCATGCAATCAGGTCTGCTCAGTTACAACACTCACTTACATGGTTATCTGAAAATCTGTGGAAAGAATCACAAAGTCCTTTGACAGGTTTCCATCTCCAATTTTTAACACTGATCCAGAGTGATTAATAAATATTCTACAGTCCTGAGGAACTGGAACCTCATGGTGATATCATTCAGTGTCACACTACATAATGCAACAATGGAATTCTCTTCCTAAGAGCACTGTGTTTTCCTGTGTCCCAAGGTATGTTTTAGACTCAAGAAGGCAGCTCTCCACACTTTTGCAAATCAGGATGGAAAATAGAGTAGACCAGCCAGTAATGTCCATGCCTCACAAATGAATAAAAACAAGTATCAGTTTTCTCTGAGGCTTTCCAAACTAGTCCCTTCCACTAAAACACATTCTCAGTGCCAATTAAACATATTATATCCCACTTTAACATGTAATGCTGATATATGTTTAAATATCTTGAACAGTGCAAAAACTACAAAGTGAAAACTTTGAGAATGGATTATCTTACTGTTTAGTGTTTCAGTCTCACGCTAACAATCTGAAAAATCCATTGATAAAGTATAAAGTGGTACTTTTACCCCAATAAATTCCTGACATGAAGTTTTGTTTAGCGGTGCTGTGAACCATCCTAATCCCTTGTTCTTTGTTATTTCGCTGCAGGTAATCAGATCAGCTTTATCTGCTGTGTCTTCATAATCCCTCTGCTGTTTTACAAATAGTTTCCCAAAAGTAAAGCAAACTCCGAGTAATCATTCTTTTCAGTATCAGATAACTTGAAGACTTAACAATGAACAAAAAAGGTACAGTTGAATTTATCTACTACTTTTCCATTGGGGAGTGCAGGCCTAAGTTTTATTTCATCGAAAGCCAATGCACACTGCGTGTTTATTGTAACGTTTCCCACGACTCTGATGCATGAGTGGTATGTGAGACTTACCACAGCCTGGCTGTAGAAGACATTAAACTTTTCCTGCATTTGTCTTAGTGATTCCAGGGAATGTGGCAAACAGTCCACCTGAACAAGGTATTTTTCTCTCTCGCAGTCAGCCCAGTGTCTGATCTGAAGGTAGTAAAAGCACAGCAAATGTCATTAGAAAACACTATAATGACCTGCTTTAGACATCTCAGTCTGTCCAGAAACATAAAGGTCTTTGCTCTGTTGTGGCAAAAACAGCAGATGGCTCCAGAAATCATCAGTCCTGCCCCTGAACTTAGCACTTCCTGTTATCACTGGGGATGAGAACACAGTTTAAGTTGGCAATTGTGCAAATACAGCTTAGGAGGCAGCTAGCCATTTAAAGCATTAACTGCCACTGTAGAGGTGCAATTTTGGTAGCATTTGAGCTTGAAAGTCCATTTGTACAGAGGAGTCCTGATAAGGGCAGCTCTGAAATTTATGTGCACTTCTTTGGTTAGCTAGGGTTTCCCTACAGAGAAACAAGGTATTCCTTTGGATCTGGTACAGGGCTTGCCTTGGGAGGAGAAGTTCCCTTTTGGGGTGGTTCGGTTGGTTATTGGAATTGTTAAAAGTTTGCAGAAATGTGTGTAAAATGTGCATAAACACATTATTTTCCAGATTATTAGAACTGTCAACAGAGCTATCAAAATTCTTTAAAAACAACTTTCAGACTACATCTGAAGATGGCATAAGAAAGGGACGAGTCAAAAACTGTCAAGAAGAACTGTCAAGTGGTTCGGTTGACAGTGTTAAAAAGGCCAGTCAAAGGGGCAGGAGAATCTGCTAAAGGGAACTGTTAAGCTGTCATGACATTTAAAAGTCCAATCCTTTAAACATATGGAAAACCGTTGGAAGTGTAAAAGAATAGGACTATTTGCTACTTCATTCTGTCTGTTGAAATAAGCCCAAGGCTTTCCACTACTGGGTGAATGCTGCACGATTGATTTCACAACCATCCAAAATCACAGCAGGATGTCTTCCATTTCAATGTTTAATTGGCGGCTACAAGTAGTTATAGACTCTCAAAGGTGGAATTCATGATTCCAGTGCTTCTTCTAAGGGATCATGAATGAAATGTTAATTGCTACAAAGATTTATATGGTTGAATGAATGTAAGCACAGTATTTTTTTATGAATGAGAGTTTCCTTTCAATTTAATGAAGTCTGCAATGGAAACTTAGAACTTTATTTTATCAAACCTTATGTGATCTCATTTTAGCATAGGTCCTGAGTTCTGCTCATAGTGCATGTTAGGTATGTTTTCATGGTAGGTATAAAGGAAGAGTAAAAGAAAAATAGCTAATAGTGATCATAGGTTGACGACTTAGCAATGTGTCTATAAAGGAATGCAAAGCAGGGGTAACAGGTTGGCATGAAGGATATGTATGAGAAGGTGCAGGTGTTATGTGGAGGAGACATACTTTGGCATGGAGGGTATGAGGTGCCATAGGAGGTAGGTAGGATAGACCTAATATGGCATGGCTACTTGAGGAAACATAAGGGTTGTTGGGAATGGTTTAGGGGGCATGAAGAGCCATGGGAGGTGGCTAGGAGCATTTGACAGCATGTAAAATGATGAATGGGTAAGAAATGTGATAGCTAGGTGGTATGGGCTGGCATAGAGCGTGTGTGCAGGGGTGGGGGCTTAGTGATGGAGGGACGTTTCATGTTTATTCTTTATTTTAAACGTTAGGCCATTGTGTCAGTTTCCCAAGACAGACTTTCTGCCCAGGCCACCCAGCAGCCTCTACAGTTCTTCCATGGTCGTCCACTCCAACATAAAATCCAGACTGTCCAAAATCCAATGTATGGACTGCCATTTTTAAAGATTGGATTTACAAAGCTAGGAATCCTCCTATCTCTCCCAGGAGCAGAAATGTGGGTCACTCAATGCAACAACCACTTGGGAATACAATCAGAAAGTGAATGATTTACAGAACAGGAGTAATGTAATGTTAGTAATGGCATGGTGTATATTGAGTGGAACAGGTCGTTTTGAAGCTGAGGTGGGTTAAGCAATAAAGCAAGAAGTTTAGAACAATAAGTCATAACTCAAACTAGTTTCTGCCTTTAAAACCAAAAGAACTGTGGATGCTGTAAATCAGAAACAAAAACAGAAGTTGCTGGAAGAGTTCAGCAGGTCTGGCAACATCTCTGAAGAGAAGTCAGACTTAACGTTTCGGGTCCGGTGTCCTGAAACATTAACTTTTATCTCTCTTCACAGATACTGCCAGACCTGCTGAGTTTTTCCAGCAACTACTATTTTTGTTTCTGCCATAATTCAGTCCTCACTGGGACATGGGTTCACAGTACAAAAAGTGGTGTATGATCAAACTAACTGATATTGCCTCATTGTTAAGGGCATTTTTGAAATTAATGGCCAATTAATTCCAATGGGCAATTCCCAGTTTTTGGTGTAACGGGTATCTGTTATGCAGATTCACACCTCTGGTACAAGCTGCGTTGGATACCATTTTGGTAAAAATGTTAGAGTCATGCATTGGTATATAGATTAAGCACATGATGACATCAGTCAATGTTTAATACTGATTCAAAATCAGGATTGCCACTACAGCTCATGCTCTACCTAGCATTATTTCTTCATCATGACTGTTTGATCATGCATCTAACGGGAAGGGCTGACACTAGTGCTGTGTGAATGCTATTTATAGGCATGTTGCTAATTGATTTATTTTGATTGTTGCTATAATTGTACAATTACTTGTTTAATGACTTCTATATTCATTAAAGTTGCAGTAGTCCACAGAGAGTGGTGTGGCAGATACTGAAGGATTTGATCCTGACGTGAAGGCTTTGGCACCTGTTAGCCCCAGATCTGGGCGTAGTAATAGTTAATCCCCTTGATTAGAAGAAGGCATTTCCCCTTGACTTGCACGACTAAGAGAAGTAGCTGAGGTACACAGGGCGGGCGAGATAGGATAGGAAGTGGAGGAGAAAAGAGAGAAAGCTCTGAGCAGGGGCCATATCCAGCTGGAATGTCAGGAGCAATGCTCCTCTCCTTCAATGTGGTACTGTACGTGAGACATCTAGATTTCACCACAGATGTTCTCACCGAAATCTGCCTCCTGCTGCAGCCACACCTGCAAGATAGGACCGATGTTGACAGTGGCTGTGAAGGTGAACACAGCCATCAACATTTATGAGTCAGTTTCCTTCCAGACAACATCTGGAGCTATCTCTCAGTTTGCCATCCATTGTGGTTCAGAATAGGGCACTGATGCTCTCTAATCAACAGAAGCCAATTACATTTCATTCTCCCCAGCAGTTTGAGTATGTGATTCACTAGGTTTGCAGGTTTCCCAATGGTGCAGAATGTCATTGCCTGCTTGCACATTGCTTTGTAGGTGTTCATGCTAATATGTCCTGTAATGGAAATGAAGGGGATTACAATCTCTCAACATCCTACTGATATGTGATCATGAGCACATCTTGCAATTCAATGCCCACTTTCATGGCAGTGATCATAATGCCTTCAAACTTGAGCTGGATTCCAAATCTGGCCATTTTTCTCTCTTGTCGTCCTCTGCTAGAGGTCCCAATCTCTCTGGAACAGCTCCACAAAGTGCATGCTGCAGGATAAATCCCTGAGTCATCAACGGTGACAACTAATTTCATTCACACAGTTCTGGTAATATAGATAGATGTTCTAATGGACGTCACATTGGTGTGATCAGAAAAAAATGGCTGACAGGCTAAAGGTGGATAAGTTAAGGTGGTGACTGAAAGCTTCTTCAAAAAGATTAATTTAAGGGGAGGGTCTTAAAAAGCAAAAGATGGTGGAGAAACCACTTTACTGATAGGGAAACTGGAATGCCCAGGAAAGGAAAGGATCTTTCAATTCCAAGGCATTTTCATCAGACCATTTTAGAAAACTATATTCAGTTTTGGGGCATGTAGTCTCTGGAAGGAGAGACTGGCCCTAGTGTGGGTGTAGCACAGCTTCAACAGCATGATTTCTGAGCTAAAGAAGGTTAAATCATGTTTACAGGTTGCATAAGCCTGGCTCTTTTCCATTAAGTGTAGAAAGCTGAGGGGTGTTCTAATCAAGATGTTTAAGTTGATGGAGGGATATATTAAAGTAAATGCAGATAAATTAATTCTTCCGATAAGGAGTCAAAAATGAAATGAATCAGAGTCTTGACATTCAAGCAAGATCATTCAGAATGAAATCAGAAACCGTCTCTTCACACTAAGGCCATCTCTGTTCCCTTGGAAATCCTCACCTTCACAGATGCCAGCCTTCGGTCAATTCAATTGACACACATGATATGAAGAAATTGATGATGGTACTGAATACAGCAAAGGCTTTGGGCTCTAACAATTATCCAGCAATAGTGAAGAAGATTTGAGCTCCATAATTTGCCATGCCCATAGCCAAGCTGTTCTAGTACAGCCACAAAACTGGGTATCTAACTGAAAGTGTTAAATGTTGCACAGATAGGTCCTGTACATGAAGAAGAGGACAAATCCAACCCACCCAGTTATCACACCATCAGTCTACTCTCAATCATTAATAAAGTGGTGAAGGGGTCATCAACAGTGCTTTCAAGCAGCACTTGCTGAGTAATAACCTGCTCGCTGACACTCATTTTGAGTTCCACCAGGACCATTCAGCTCTTGACCTCTTTGCAGCCTTTGTTCAAACATGGATAAATGAGCTGAACTCTGAGGTGAGGTGACAGTGACTACGCTTGACATCAAGGGGATATTTGACTGATTGTAGCATCATAAGACCCTCAGAACACTAAAGTTAAAGGGAGTCATGAGAAAAACTGTCTGCTGGTTGGAGTCAAACCTAGCACAAAGAAAGATGATTGTGGTTGTTGGAGGTCAGTCATCTCAGCTCCAGGGCATCTCTGAAAGAGTACTTCAAGGGAATATGCTAGGCCCAAACATCTTCAGCTGTTTCATCAATGATCTTCTCTCCATTATAAAATCAGAAATGGGATGTTCACTGAAGATTAAACAATGTTCAACATCATTCATGACCCTTAGATACTGGAGAGGTTTAAGTCCACATGCAGCAAGACCCAGGCAATTCCTAGCTTCAGCCGATTGGTGGCAAGTAACATTGTATCACACCAGTGACAGTCAATGACTGGCATCTAAAAAAGAGAATCTAACCATTGCTGAATACCCCAATATCAATATCCTGGAGTTAACATTTTCCAGAAACTGAACTGGACCAGCCATATAAATACTGTAGCTACCAGAGCAGGTCAGAGACTAGGAATCCTACAGCGAGTAAGTCACCTTCTGACTCCCTAAAGCCTGTCCATCACATACAAGGCACAAGCCAAGAGCGAGTCTGCACTTGTCTGAATAAATGCAGATTTACTGGTTGGGATGCTCTGAGGGTCAGTGCGGACTTGTTGGGCCAAAGGGCCTGTTTCCACATTGTAGGAATTCTATGATTCTATGATAAACAATCAAGAAGCTTGCTATTATCCAGGATAAAGCAGCCCAGTTGATTGGCACCGATCCATAAATATTCACACGTTTTACCACCAATGTACATGAGCAGCATTATGTACCATCTTTAAGATGTGTGAAAGAAGTTCAGCAAGGCTCCTTACACTGCATCTTCCAAACAACGACCATCTAAAAAGACAAGAGTCATAGATATATGGGAATACCATCATCTGCAAGTTCCTCTCCAAATCATTCGCTATCCTGACTGAGAACTATATAACTATTCTTTAGCCATTCTTTCACTATTGCTGGGTTGAAATCCTGGAATGCTCTTCCAAACAGCTTCGACGATGTATCCACATCAAATGCATTGTGGCTTACCATCGCCTTCTCAAGAGCAACTAGGGATGGGAGTAAATGCTGACCCAGCCAGTAAAGCCCCTGTAAAAACAAATGGGTAATGGAAATTTGGAACACTCTCATCCCAAAGTGTGCGGATGCTGGATCAAGTTTAAAAATTTAAAAATTGAGATCAATAAGCTTTTGTGGGATATCCAGGATATGTAGCAGCAGCAGATAAATGAAGTTGAAACTGTGATGAAATCTATCTTTTTTTGCATGTGTCAATTTTATACCATGTAAACCAACAACCTGTGAATATTGTAATATTCAGTGATGTGGATATTCCAAAGGTTACTGTATTCAAATGTTTAAATAGGTGTTATATTCAATCCGATCTAAAAACAAGGGTGAGGGCTGTTGTAACTTTTACAATATGTTACCTAGAAACAATTCAAGGGTTTTTGAGCAGTCAGTTTTAATCAGTTGGATGGAGGCAGTTGGAAGAGAAGGTTCCTACCATTGGGTGGCTAGTTAGTGAGAAACTGAGAGAATGAGAAGAGGCTCCATGCAGCAGTATGAGGCTATTAAACTGTTCTGTTGAGAAGGCCCCTAGTTTAGTGCCCTTGGGTTTCAGGAAGCAAGTGGATTGCTCTGTGCAGTTAGGTCTGAGCGCCTGTAGGTGTAACAAAGTGTCGGAATCAGAAATTCATACAAGCTGTGAGATACTTAGAATCAGCAATTAATACTTTAGTGCATCTGAGAGTACAGTTTGAAAAATCCAGGAAGTGCATTTGCTTGGAGCCAATGAGAAATAGAGGTCAGGAAAAGAAAACATGAGCAGTACTGGCTTGCTGAATGTAGCTATCTGAGAAAAGCTGGAATTGTGCCTGAGATTAAGTGCTGGAATGCAGCTTTCCAAATCTGAGTAGGGCAGACCCAGGAAAGGAAGGTGAACTACCAGAATGTTAACAATCATCGAGGTGGTCTGCGACTGAATGCCATTTGGCAGGCTGCAGTTCAGAAGATGTTCCTTGAAAGAGCAGAATTGGAATCTCTATGAAGTTTTAATGAGATTTGAAGACCCACTGTGTCACAAATGTCTGGGGAGTTGCTGAAAATATCATGGGATTTATTTTGACCACATTTTCTATTTAATGTAGGGAGTTTAAACACAGTGTGTCTGTTATCCATATTCATCTCTAGTGAATTCTGGATGTAAGAAAATTAGATATACGGTTGATTGCATTACTTCTTTTGTAAAACTTTTTTTTTGCTTGTCTAAAACCGTGTCACTTTAGTCTCTTGGCAAATACTGGAATCACATACTTCATCAACAATAAAAAAAATGTCACCGGTATCCACCCAGATTGTAACTCAAATTTGGTCTAGTTTGGATCATAACAAGATACATATACATCTTAACGAAATAAAATAGCAGAACAGGCTCAAGGAGTTCAAAAGACCCCGTCCATCTTCCTGTATCTTGTCAGGATTAATCTAGTTCTATTATTTTGTTTCAACTGATCCCATTCAGATGCAAATTGGACTGAGACAGATTAATTCTGGAAAAGAAAGCTAATAATAAAATTCACAGATTGTGTGATTCATTTCTCTTTTACATGCTTTGAAGGATTTTTCCATAAGACAGACATAATGGCACTGCCTCCATTGGTTTCACTGACTCACTGAAACAATGAGATCTCAAAGTCTTTGTTCACCTTGCTACTTCCTTCCTCGAATCTTCTGAGCTGCAGTAGGATCTCCAGCTGCTGTAGGCACTTGTTGGTCAGTATGACTAACCTATGGACCTCTTCATCCACCTGATTATACAGCATTGTGATGGTATCCATGGCATCCCTGCAAACATTTAGAACATAGGTTTGGCTGATTGCATATCTGAAAGATACTTTCATTAGGAAGAATGTTAAATGTTGACGTGCATGCCAGGGTGTTCTAGCTTTTTGATTACAAATGAGCCTTATAATGATTATGACACAGTAATCTTGAGCCATTGGGATTCATAAGAGCTTAACAAAGCTCCTGGCAGAGAAAGCAGGTGTTAGAGATACATAAAATTGTGATCGATTTTACCCAAGGGGGTAAGGACTAGCATTCCTAGCTTTGATCATTTGTCTCCAATTTTTGTGGGCTATGCTTTTGATGAGACCATTCAGGGCATTGCTTCTTGAGAACAGCAACATCAGGGCCAGCAGGAGAAATTGAAGAACTAAATATGGAAACATTCTTCTGGCATGAATTGAAGACAAGCAACATTCAAAATCCAACACAATTGTTTGAAGAGTTTCTCATTATGAGTCACAGACCAAATAGACTGCACAGGTTACACAAACCAGGAAGGCTCCTGTTTGATTCCTCATCTATTTAAACTTAGTTATCTTATTCTCAAAGGGGGCACTTGGAGATGGGTAGTGGGAATGAGTTAGGAGTATGAAAATATTTGCTGACTAGTGACATGAAAACAGAAAATAATCTAAGTACTCAGAAATCTGTCGGTGTCTGAACAAATTAAATAGGTATCTGCTTTGAATAAGAATGGTCTACCAACACAATGAGGGAAAGATTCAATTTATGGTGAGAACAGATGGTAGTGGAACAGCTCAAAATAATCTAACAAAATTGGTCATGGTGAATAACAGACAACAAATTTGCAACTATAAGTTGTACATCCCTGTACTGCACCAATGATGGATTTTACATTACATTTTACAATGCATTCTGAATATTGTATACTCAATGTCCCTGAAAATATATCTTTTTGTGTCTCCAGATTCGTTCCACTGATCTCAACAGTTTTGTTCACAAGGTTGTTCGAGGCAATGAGAGACAGGAGTTCTATTCCAGTCAAACTTATTGTCTTCAGGGCAGCAGGAATTAAAGAAGAGATTCTTAGATGGGGAGATGGGGAGAAGAATTTTTTTTTAAAAGTAAGGCAACTGTTATTCTATTATATTATTGTTCAATTATTGTTCAAAAAGGGCTGTGTAGTGTTGTGTCTGTTGTAATATAGAAAACACAACATGTAATTTACTTGCAGCAGATAAAGACCGGATAATTTGTGAATTGTTCAGGCTTGAGGTTGAAAGTTAAGACATTAGAGGGAACTCTACTGAACTTCTTTACTTGAGTGCAATAGGATGCCTTTTGTCAATGTAAGAAGGCAGGTAAGATCTCAGCTCAACATCACATCCAAAAGACAAAAACTCTGACAGAGTGCGTATTTCGTCAATAGTACACAACGTTTTCAGCTTAGATTTGGCACTCAATTACTTGGCATGGGATTTGATCCTATAATCATTTGACTTGAAGAGCAAGTGCAACTGAATAAACAACTTAATGCAACCTGCTGTCTCTAAGTTTTGGACTACCAAACATCATCAACTGAATTCATGCTCTGGTGATTAATAGAATGATGACATTGTTAGATTTCATAGAATAAAAGCTTAACAAAGGTGACCTTTTTCATCACACAAGCAAAATGATCTTTGGTGCAAGAAAGTCCAATATTTTGAAGAATTCTTCCAAATTAACTTGAAATTAATTTAATGTCCTACCTGTAGTCATCAGTGTCTGAGAATTCATCCTTCCTAATCCGAGCAAGGATAGTCCCACCTTCCAGACGCAAGCCCACTAGCCGAGAATCTTCGAGCACAGACTTCATTATCCTTGTATGTTGGTTGATGAGCTCAGTAACTTCCTATAGAATTAAGGGTCCACGTTTAATTTAAATTGATCTTTGTCACATGACATTTGTCCTACATTTTTCTGACATCAGCCAACCACTTACCACCACAACTATCATCATTACATCACCGTGGCTATAAGTTTATATTGTTTTATCTTGGTTACTTTGTCCTCAGCTGGCAGGACTACTTTTCACCCTTCAACACCTTAGTTTATACAGATTTTGCATTTCTATTTCTCTTTCTCCCCAGTTAGCAATCCCTTTATCTTTTTGCACTGGGCCTCCACATCATCTATTTCCTTTGCCCCTCCTCTGCCACTGTCAAAGTATAAAAATTGACTATCTCCAACCTCTTTAGTATAAATAAAACATCATATCTGACACAAAACCTTAACTCTGTTTTTCTCTGCTGCAGATGCTGTCAGACCTGTTCAGTTTCTCTTGCATTTTCTCTGTTTCAGATTTCCAGCATCTGCATCATTTTACTTTTATTGAATTTAAATTGTGACACCAAGCCTCCTTTGCCAAGTGAATGTGACAGAAATTTGCAGGGCAAAGGGATCAAAACCTCTCTGCCCACATGTTGATTGCTTAGAGTCCAATGTACAGCCGTCCATGTTACCATTAGAGGCATAGGAATAAAAAGCAATGGTACACATTACCTCCAATAGGCACGCAACTTACTGAAGTACTATTGAGTGACTGGACATTGGCTGTCAAGAATTATGGGTGGGAACCAACCTCAAATAAGTTCACTTGACCTGATATATCATGGACCATAGAACATCCAAAGAAAGAGGGATGGGGTAAAAAATGAAATGAGTGTAAGGATGTGGCATCCTTCAGGTTTAATTTTGATCCAACTTGATTCCCTACTCTCTCTTCGTCAGCTGTTGGAAAAAGTGAACTTCAGTGGCTCTTCATGTTGCAACATTCATTCCTTCTTTACCTCAAGTGGCTTTCCTCCCACATCCTTGTCTACGTTTCTCATTTGACAACCTACTCATGACCACCTCCACATTCACTCCTGCCACTGTCACTCGGAGGGGAGAGGGAAGGTATCAGAACGAAGCCACTGAGAGTTACACTTTGCTCAAAATCTGCACTCCGATTCTAGACCTTGGTGCCTCCTATCCCTGAAATACTGCCCAATGCATGGGAAAGAAAAGAACAAAAGATGTAGGGGAGAAGCAAAGAGAGGTAAGGGAAGCGAAAAGAAGAAGAAATGGAATCAACAGAGTCAGAATCAAAAGAAGAAAAGAGAAAGAGAGACAGAAAGAGAAAAAGAGCCATTGAGATAAATGGAAACATGAAAGCAGCAAAGGCAGATAACAAAGGCCTGAAACTCACTGTGATTCCTGATATTACATTAAAAACCTTTGTCGGCATCCAATTTTTCTGTAGCCCCCATTTAGAATGTTAACTCATCACACTGTCAATGTGGGCATAACCTTCTCAGCCACCAAACAAAATGGGCATTGGTGAGGAAGTCAGAAGAATCATGTGGGATTTGCAGTAAGGAGATTCATGACTTGAGAACAACATGCCTCATTTTCTGATCAATTCTTTTATGGTGAGATGGGATTCTCATTACTGAGTTGCAAGAGGCCCATTTACATGCATTGAAATCCTCACCATTGCATCATCTTATCTCATTCACATGCAGTTTTCTATTCTCCCAGCTGCTAGAGAGAAACTAGACAGTGACAATTCCCAACATGAAAACCAGAGCGGTACCCTGGCCACTCCAGCTCACCACTTGCTCCTCCTTGCTTGGACACAAGGTACCAACATCAAAGGACATGCTTCTTAGATAATGACTGCATGCACTCACCATCCCATGTCTAATCCTCTAGCCACCAGGACCTCCAGGTCTCCAACAGCAAAACATGCTGCCAATTTCCCTTTGACTGGGGAAACTGACTGGAAATGTGCATGAAAGCCGCTGGCTGCAGGTCCTGTTAGTGACCATCATCCTGCTTGTGTCATGTGGGTAAAATGCGACCAGTGGGGTAACATTGGGATGGGGTGTATAGGTAATGAAGGAAGGCAAGTTTGGGAAGATTCGATGAGAAAATCTCCACAAAACTCAACAATATTGATACTTAGTGATTGTCTGGCCAAACTCAACCCTGTCTGTCTGGCCTGCAATGTTGCTCCAGTGCGAGTACTGGCACAAAGGTGTAACGACAACATGATTGGTTTACATGGACAATTTCACTGGCAGATAGAAAATAAAAATCATAATTGTGAAAATACACACTGAGGATTTGAATTCAAAAGTGGGAGCTAAATGATAACCCAGAGGCTTGTTCCAGTTATCTCTGTGGGTAGAGTTGGGGGAGTTCTCCTATAAGGATACCATGTGTTGAGTGTACCTGTTCTGTGCTCGGCATTCTGTTGACAGTCAGACTGTTGATGGAATTCTTCAGGTATATGAGAGCCCCTCGACAGTTCATCATAAATGGCTCCAACTTCTGAAACAACAAACAAGAGTCATAGAGTCATACAACACGGAAACAGATCTTTCAGTCCAACCAGTCCATGCTGAACATAATCCCAACTAAACTAGAGACAACAAGGTGCAGAGCTGGATGAACACAGCAGGCCAAGCAGCATCGTAGGAGCAGAAAGGTTGACGTTTCGGGCCCAGACCCTTCATCTTCTGAGCCTTTCTGCTCCTAC